CAGGAATGGGGACTAATGAGCTATGAAGTTAATTGATGGTCTCGGCACTGCCCGAATAGAAATGCTGTTACTCCACTCCCCGCCCCGTTTTAAAGGTAGGGTGGAGCAGGAATCAAAGGCGGGATGCAACTGCACACATCCCCACCTGCTCCTATGTTATATGCAAGTGTCCCGTTAGAATTTCTGAAAGTCAAGTAGTACTATTTATACTGACAGTACAGGTAATAGGTAGGTTTGCTGCTATATGATGGATACTGTCTTGATCAAGGCACAGGATTGAATTGGTGGCATTTGAAATTAAGTGCATGAGCTTGCAATAGTCAAGCTAGTTTGTTGCAGACTTTGCCTCCATTGGGGATGTGGAATGCAACACCACCAAAACAACATGAGTGAATAAAATGTATACTACACTGTAACTATAAAAATCTATTTCAAAGTGATCATTTACAATCCTCTTATCTCCCCTACAGATAAGCATCAGGGTTTTAACCCTTTGACCCTCAAATCCCTAGCTGAGACTCTTACCATTTGAGCTGTCAGACTAATTGGTAGTTCTTTACTACATCCTCCACAGGAGAGGGACTTGACCTATACTTGCTACTTGCATATTGAATCTCCTCTGGACAGGAAGTAATGGCTTTAAATTGCAACATGAGGAACTTCAGCTTAATATTGGGAAGACCATTCTAAGGATGTGGGTGGTTAACCGAGTACCTGGTGAGGTTGTGGGATCTCCATCCTTGGAAGTTCTGTAAGAGCAGGCTAGACCAACAGTTAGACAAGATGGCTTGAATGGGGTTGATCCTGCCTTGAGCAGGGAGTTGAAGTATGTCTCCTGAGGTCCTTTCTAGCCTTATATTGATGATCCATGGGTTATTCTACTCGTTCCATATTTTTCATCGGTCAAATTAAGGCTTCTCGCTATTCCAGTGATTCTGTCCTGGGCTCTGAGGTAAAACTATGCTTTAAAATGGTTAGAGCAGTGGTCCTTCATCTCTTTAGAGATGGGGTACCCCTCAACAGAAAATGCCAACTCTTTGTCTTCACTCATTCTTGGACTACAGAACAACAATTTTTCTGTTGCAAAACACTTGGTAGGGCTGCAACGGGTGAAAATGTGCTTTTGGCACTATGGATTCTTATTGGACACTCCTGGGTTTATCTTGTGAATCGTGTGGCACCCTGACTGAGAAGCACTGGGTTCATGAATAAGCTAACCACAACATGGCCTAATGGCTATGAGTGCGGGGGGCTGAGGTACTGAGTTTTGGGCCTGCGATCATTTTGCATGTGCTCTTTGTAAAGTCTTTCTTAAAAGGGGGACTGGGGCAGGGAGGGGTAGTCATTATCGGCTGTTCATCTCTAGTTGCCTTTCAGGTTGGGATTCATGGAAATAGTGAAAAACGGGTAGGGCACTGCATGGACCCTTGTTATCACATAGGGGTGAGACTTGAACTCCCCTTTCCTTATTTTTCCAGCTCTGAAGGAGCATATTCTCCGTTCAGTCTGATACCCCCTGGCTGTTGGGGCTGAGCGGCGCCAAACACGCTCCCTCGACACCCCTGCCTGATGCTCCCTGGGCGGCCCTGCGGGCGAGGAGCCGGCCCAGCCTCTTCCTTCTCCTGCCACAGCAAGATGCTGCCTGCCTCGAAGAAACTTGTCAGGCCGGTGCGGGGCAGGCTGGGGCGCTGGAGAGGTTGAGAAGAGTCCGGGACGAGCGGCCGCGGAGTTTCCTGTGTCCTTTACCGGTTTCCCTCCCGCAGACAGGACAGACGGGTCCCGCTGCCCTCGCGCCCCTTGTACCCACAGGGCAGCAGCCCGCTGGGGGAGCCGTCCCCGGGGCGCAGCC